AGGGGGGGGGGGGGGGGGCCGAACCGGGATCTTCTATGCACGGCGCTGGGAGGAGGAGTCGTACCCCAAAATGCTAACGGCTCTGTGGCGGGAGCACGACGGTCAAATTGAAACGCGGGATGTCGAGACGACAGCAGGACCCCAGACAAACTTGAGGGCCAAAACCAGCAGGGACTGTGGCGTGAGCATGTGTGCATGATGTGAACGCAAAAACACCTCTGAAATAGAGACACACACACACACCCCACTGCGGCTGGAGCACGACTCCTCAAGTTCAAAGTGTCGACGTGTTTACAATGCCTTCGGCGTCCGCACCGGAACGCGGCCGGCACGAGACTGTGGAAAGAATGCTACTCTAGTCTAAAATGTCGACAGCGGCAGCCACGGAACGCAGTGCCTACGTCGAGAGCCTCGTGACGACAGCAACCTTCTTCCTTTGCACTGATCATAAGAACCGCATAGCGCTGTCACACTGCCTGGAGTTTGCCAAGGCTTCCTCGCAATGCATGGTCACGAAATATGTCGCTGGACTTATGTTAGCCCGTAAGTTAATCCATGTAAATCTAGCTTCAGCGAATCTATGGCAGCCTTCTAGCTGATTCGACCCTCAGTTCACTGAGCACTCAAGATGTAGAAGCATCTGAGTCTCGACTTGGTATGTCTTCAAAGTGTCCTTTGTATGTGCTTCGGTGAAGTCTTCGACAATGCTAAGATGAATCTACCCTGTATGCATGGCCTCGACACGATAGCCGAAGCTTGTAGCGGCAAGCTTCAGCCCAGGACCTGACATTGACATGACTCAGATCATACCGTCAGCAGCCGCAGCCCAGTGGCACGTGCCTCCAGCATCAAGCCTCAGCTTCCACCTGAGCACAAGTGTTATTCGCACATACTGAGCTCCAATGTGCAAAACGATGCACATTTGGGGTCAAGGATGAGGCTCGCGGGTTGAGGATTTGAGCTTGGGTGTTTTGGGGCTCAGGCTTAGGGATTCACGTTTTAGCGCAGAGAGCGAGGCTTGGGGCTTTCGGCCTAGACTTTAAAATAATCCAATTGAACATCCCCAGCCCCGGAATGGCTGTCGTTGGGCTCACATTATGGACGGCATTGGGCTCGAGCTTTGTTGCATTTTGGCTTGGTCGGGGGCTTCGAGGGCTCAATGAAAGCCTCGGGAATGGGGCCAAGGGCACCAGCAAAGCTGAAACAGCTCCAAATGCGTTTTCCAAGCCTTGATAAATGCGTTGTGGTGCCCTGGATACCATCGGTGCGATTTACGTGGTATAGGGACGGCATTGAGCTCCAGATTTGTTGAAAAACGCATTTGGACTTGGTTTCAACTGTTTGGAACGAGGGACACATGCATTTAGCAAGCCTTGGAAAATGCATTTAGGCTGGTCGGGGGCTTCGGGAGCTCGATTTGGGTTCGGGGACTCAGGCAGGAACACCAGCAAAGCTGAAACAGCTCTAAATGCGCTTTCCAAGCCTTGAAACATGCAGAACCATTTTCAATACGAATTTGGTGCTTCGGGACGGCATTGAGCTTAGGGCTTCAGATCTGTTGGAAGGCCAACTGTTTTTAGCAGGCATTGTGGAGTCTGCGCGCAAACATGTGGAGCTTGGACACAATGAGAATCCGCCGGGAACCTGACCCCAATACCTCCCCGCAACTCGCCCCGTCTACAACCCGCCCCGCCCCGGAACCCACCCCGGAACCCGCTTCGGAACATCCCTGCAAAACTGTTTCGAAACCCACCAAAACTTGCCCACTTGAGCGGAACCTGGCCCGGAACCTCCCGCCGGAACCCGCCGGGAACTTGCCAACCACCTGCACCGAACCTCCTCCAACCTCCTCCAAAACCCGCCCCACTTGAGCATGGAGATTCGGGACACGAAAGGCAGGATACGCCTTAGCTTCATCCGTGATCCTCATTTTCCGTCGCTCGCTCGCGAACGGGATTTGCTGAGTTTAGTCTACTCAGCCCATGCGACAGTGACGAGGTGAGGATGCAGTGGTATCGCAACCGAAACGCAACTGCAAACCACTACAGCCAACAGAAAGTGCCACTGCAAATCCGTGTCAAACTACAAAAAGAGCGATTAAATCGCCGAGGCCACAGGCCTCCGGCGTCTTGCCGGTTAAACTAAGTAACCCAATCCTCCTCCCTGCATCCCAAAAATTTACCGACACGCGCTTTTGGGCACACTTTCGACACTTTCGACCCCCTGCCCCGACTGGCCCCTCATAGACCTGTCCTTTCCCTTCAATCCAGTCCATCTTGGCCAATTCCAGACAGTTTTCTTCCCGTCGTTCTGTGGTTGCAGGACTTGTGCATCGACGGTGCGCTGCGACCCCACGGGGCCGCTGTGCTCACCATCGAGGGACGCAGGGCGTCCTCGTGAACGACACGCTGGTCAACGGGGCCGTGGCGGCCGAGCCCAGCCTCGACTACCTCTTCCTCTCCGGTGGGGCTGGAGATGAACACGAAGTTCGCCGCTGGTGTACATTTTAGACCCCCCATGACCCCCCGCCCTGCTTGTCTCGGTCAAGGGTCATTTAAGCTGAGTGACTACCACAGTACTTGCTGAGCCACTGTCTCAGCGAGGACCAATTTCGTGGTCCAAAGCGCTCCTGGTGGCGATCTGCTTCAAGCGATCGGAAAGCCTGTCGCTTATGTTGTAGAACTGGGGACGTGGCTGCCAGCAGCTCTGAGAGGACCTGGCGCCGTCTCACCCTAGTGGCCCGAGCTTTCCAAAAAGCGTTACACCTACATGAAACTGAAATGTGCAGGCTATTCGGCTTGTACGGAATACGTGTGCTGGAAGGGATACACAGGGCAGGATCCGAGTGCAAATGCAGCCTGCGACCTCATCTCTCGCTACAAAGCCCAGAACATCAGCAGAGTCAGGTCCCGCAGCAGGTCCCGCAGGGTCCCCGACCTCCAGAGCCTGCTCGGCCATGGGCGCCGGCCATCGAGGAAGGAAGTACTTTGAAGCGCTGTTTTGGTCAGTGGCTGCTACACGTGGCATGCCATCTGAAACCCCAAACCATGCCCGTCTTGATGTCTGCTCATAGTACGATTAGCTCGCAAAACTCTACAAGACCCGTCTGTGTTGTCAAGCCCCACATTGATGTCGCAGAGCTGCAGAGCAGATGGCAGGGCCGACAGAGCTTTCAATGCCTGCCAGTTGAAGGCTTTTAATTGCCAGCTTTCTTCTTCCGATTCACCCTTCTTAGTGTTACTCATTTGCGTCTGAGGTTGCCGCTGCTCCCTTCGCCACAGGCAGGTGTCCCTGGCCTTCAGCAGCCGTTCTGCCACGACGTACCTGCGCAGTATTGCAAGTACAGGACTCCGATAATTGTGCAGCTTCTGTGCATCAGTTGATGCGGGCCGGCATGTTGGTGAGCTACCATACCACGCTTCTCACACAATGAGCCCGCCCTCACGCTAAAGCATTCACACACGATATGCGTAGGTGCTTCTGGCTCAGAGGGCACCTCCTGAGCTTGTCGGACCGTGCTCGGGCTTCGAAAGGCACGTCGTCAATGGGCACTTCCACCTCTCAAAAGCTACGCTAATGACGCTCATGTCGCCTGACAGAAGGGAACTGCAAACGCTTCGAGCAATCTTCAGGAAAATGATACTGTGCTCTAAACTGCCGAGCCTGCGGCAGAGAGCAGGCACGGGAGCACAGCACATCTGCTGCTGCATGAAGATCTGGAAACTCGGCGCGCAACGCAGCCTCACCAAATCCATGTCAGAATCTCGGTTGTGACATGAGGCTGCAGCCGACTCTCGGTTCTGAAAGCTCAACGGCGCTTGACTCTCCAAGATGTGCCGAAGCAATTCAACCCTCTCCTGCGCATCCCCTCGGCGCTTCGGCCACGAACAAGCCATCCAAAAGGAATACAAGCAGAAGATCTAACATGCTGTGCAGCCACTGCTGCGCTGGCGTCATTGCTTCCATCAGCCTGCCAGAACCAATAAGCTTGATCTGCTGCTGACAGGAAAGGAACTCTTCAGATCGCTAATGTACACCATGCAAACAACGGGCAAAACAAACTGTGCATAATTCTGTGCAACTTACTGTTGATACGAACAGAAACAAGCTTGACTTCTTGACTTGTCGGGAAAAGCAGTGGGAGACCACATGTGCTGTTTGATGGCATAACTTTCACAAACACGCCACCCGGGAGGCCTGTACTCCGCTGCAAGCTGAAACAGACAACCGAAACCAGTGGCACTTGGGCAACAACCGAAGGTTGCCAAAAGATCTTAAATTTCATCATCCCACCGAAAGAACATTCTGGTCCGGCGATACTGTTTAACCCAAGAACACGGGACAATACCCAGGAAATCAGCATATGCAGTCACCTGGACGAGACGCTGGCAGAACTCCTCAATTTGTCCAGCGAGACGCAAGCGCACGTCACGCTCTCGGCTCAACACTGCCTGCCCGCGAGCTGGTGAAGTAGACAGCATCCCTCAAACAGTGTCTTTTCTTTAAGTTCAGCACAAGCTTTGGAATTTTCCTTTGCAGGATCTACTGGTCGGCCTGCTTGAGACTCTCGACGGAGTTGAGATGATTCCGCATCACCTCGAACAGAGATGACAGGAGATGACAGGCTTCTAATCCGCTGGTACCAGTAGTCGCGACGACATCTCTCGGCTTCCAGTCCCCGGCTGCTCGCCACTCGTCAGCGACGGATGGAGAAATTGTCGCAAGATGTCGCAAGACCGAAAAAGAGACGAACTGCAAGCCGGCAGCCGCTGTGGGAATGTTCAGGGCCCAGGGCCGGGTCTCGGACCTCGAAGTCTTCGAGCGCCTCACGCTCAGCCTTGGCCACACGAGGCCCGAGCCCCCAAAAGCTGCGGCCTCCCCTGCTAATCACTCTCGCCTACCGCTACCACCTGGGGGCTGTGGATTTTGCCCAGTGCTCGCTTGCAACCCATCATCCCAACATAACCGGGCGTAAGCATAGACTGAGTTCTCACCGAGGAGGAACATGTTCAGCATGAGCGATAGTACATGCGGCTCTGCGCGAGCACAGATCAAAGCGAGGGAGCGTGAAAGGCAATGATGCAGCAACAAGACGCTTGTGAGACGCGAAAAACCAATGAAAGACAGACGGGGACCAAGAGAGCAATCTTGGAAGTTTGCCTCGGCACAGCGCTGGCGCAGCTCCCCGGATCGTGCTTCGATGGCCTGCACAGAAGAACACGGGGCTGTGAGGCCGCGAGGCCATGCAGCTCTCGTGCACCAGCAAAGCTTTGCTGCACGTGAAATGCGTCCTGGATGGCGGAGTCCAAGTCTCTGCGGCGGGCCCTGAGTTCTGGCAGCAGCTGGCGTGCACCCTGGCTCGCGCTCGGAAGTTTCGGGCTACACGCACATGGCCCCAAAGACCGCAGTTGCCACGGAAATCTGGCCTGCAGTTTGGAGCGGAAGTCCTGCTCTGCAGCGTGGATTGACAGGATTGGACGAGTCGGTACGGCTTGATGCTGCAAAAAGCAACAGCTTTGGACAGCTGAATAATCCATTCCAGGAAAGGCCGTCCTGATGCTGAAGTTGCTCTCGCGTGAAGTCACGGCTTGATAGCTCCTTGGATCTCGGCAGATTGGACAACGTCCCAAGCCAGTCCCATTGAGCGTGTTTGCCCTGCATGTGCCCCCCAATACACAGAATTGTTGCCAAGTGGCCGCTTGCACCTTGACATGAAATATGTAGTGGGCATGTTAGAACTTGTTTACAAGCCGATGCACCTCTACTGACTTGGAGGTCGCGGATGGCTTGGAAACCTTCTGAGGTGCTTCCGGTTCACGTGGCGAATCACTCTTCGAACCTGTGCGATGGATCAAATTGAAACAATCGCCGCAAAAGTGCACTATACTCTCCTGGTGGCAGCGCTCCGGCACCGGGCGCACCGGACCTTCGAAGAACAATTTCCGGCCCATAGACTTCTTTTGACTAAGATGCCTCTAGCTGGAATGGTGGATATGCCCGAAGAGCATATCAGTTCGAACTAAACGTGCTACCTGCTACTGCTACAGGCCGAAAGACTCAGCTTGCATCATGAGATGGAGCTGACTCCGACAATGCGCGGCCAGGGAGCCTCCGTGCTGGCACTTGCAGCCTGCAGTGGTAGCACACGTGTGCTAAAGAAATAACGAACAAACTCACAGATAAGTTTCTAGGTTGTTCGGCGGAAGGGCTTCCAGCGTGCATCACATAGACTTATTCCCGTGGCCATGAGTCTCGACCGCGCATCGTGGCCGATGCCTTCTAGTTTTGCATGAAGTTGGCTGGTGCGGCCAGCTTACTGTGCAGGAGGCGCAGGAGGCTGCAAAGGTGTACTCATCATGTCCCTCATCTCACGCATCAGGTCGTAGAAAGGCCGTGCCTCACAGAGATGCAGACACTTCCCCCAACCGAATCCACTCTTTTCAAGCCTCGCTTGGGCGGACTGCAGGAGAAGCAGACCGACGAGGAGAAGCCTCGCGGACCTCAGGTCCGGAAGCCATCCAATCCCACGAGCAGCGTGTGCTGAGTGCCGTACTGGAGGCACCGACTGGATGGTACCCTGCACGACCCAACGCCTTCGGCGGCTCAGTGCAATGTGACGTGCACCGTGACTGCGAGCAGAAGTCTCGCCAAGGATGTAAAGATAGGGGGTTTGCGCAGCCATGCGCAGCCTAGAGATGCCTGCACAGTCCCAGGCGCTTTCAAGCTCCCTGAAGCTTGCGGAAGCGGAGAATCATAGCAACATGTCAGGATGACCCCTTTTAATAAGGAGCCTGTCTTCGGCTGTTTCCATGGATGCCGGCATATCAGGAGCCATCGCCCCAGAGCTCATCTGGCCTGAGCGTGATGAGCGAGAGGCCGGCCAGTCTTCAAGTTCTTGGATCCATGCACTGCTGTCGCTCCTCGCCTGATGCTTTGGCCACACAAGGCTGGCTCGATGGTGCGCTGATCGGCAAGCTGGTTGCCAGGTCCCTCTGTACATCCTTTCCCAAGATGGGTCCCACACCTGCAAGGAAGCTCGCATGAGACCAGCGAGCTCTGTTTTCAAGAGGCCGCCTGGAAGCTCGGGTCGAGAGTTTGCACGTGATGGAGGAAGCAAAGGACGTTGTTCCCATGGCTGGGGAGCCCTCGGACGAGTCTCAACGTGTTTTTGTCACAATGGCATATATGGCACGCTCCTGCTGCGTGAAGAGGAGGAGTCTCGTACCTCGTCTGACCTTGCGTCAGGCATCCGATGCGGCAGATAGCAGCTCGTAGGACAACGCATAACCCCCGTGGCCTGCCCGCTCTCTCCTGACAGGAACAGTTCCCGGTCTGTCATAGAATAGCCGTCTATGCTGCCGACTGCAGGAAAACCGATTGCAAGGCCCTCCAAGAGCTGTCCTCTCCACACGATTGCCCAACTTGCCCAGCAACTGCAGCCAGCATATTCAAATATTGCATGAACCACGTTGCGTTGCTTTCATGTCGCAATGGAGCTGTGCAGGCCTTGCCGTGGCTGGTCATGAAGGTCGGCCACTGCGGCATTCGAAAATTGTCCTGTCGCGGACATGGCGATGCCAACAACTTATCGGAATAGCGAACAACTTGAAACATAGTTTCAATATGTGCATTCAAGTCGCGGCTTTGCGAACCATGGCCAGCAATGCCGTTTGTAGGTAAACCTTGGTTTTGAGGACTGTTCATCCCCCTGCCATTTCATTCCGCTGCCATCTCCCTCCCTCCCTCCTTCCCTCCCTCTCTTCCTCCCTCTCTCCCTCCCTTCCCTTGTCTTGAGAGTGAGAGCCTGACATGAAGCAGTGTAGGTGTCTGGCACGAACTACAACAGTTTACAAGGGATTTCATTTTTCAAGATTCCCGGACCGCCTTCCAACTAGAAGCCTGGCCCGACTGACCAGTCGGGAGTTGTTGTCTATGCTCCGATGGACGGACTGCTTATTTTGCAAGGCTTG